GGCTCGGATACTAGAAACATGTAACACGTCATTCAATGCCAAAATTTTGCCAGATGTGAGTGTGATAAGAACTTTGCCTTTTCCAAGAACTGGAGCAGTTCTTGAGTCACCAAGATATACAACTTCTTCTCCTTCCTCAACTTGGGTGTAAGCACAAAGTCTTTTTTGTTAGCACATATATGCCTAGTGGCACCAGAATCTAACACCCAGTCTTTCACATTGGCCACAAGGTTCACTTGGGAAACAACTGCAACAATTATGTCATCCGCTTTGGCTTCAGTTAAATTTACTTTAGCCTTGGCGGGATTGTCATTCCCAACCCTCTTCCGGCATTGAGCAGCATGATGGCCAGGTTTGCCACACACAAAGCAGTTACCTTTTTTCTTGAAGGTTTGATTGTTGGTTTTGGGCTTATAACCATTTCCTTTATCATACCTGTTATTTGATTTGTTCTGCCGCTTATTGTTCTCCACCAGGTTGGCTCTTGTAGCAATCTCTTTTCCTTTGTCAGCAACAGCTTGCTTGCGATTTGTATTTTCAATTATAATATGTTTGACCAAGTCCTTCAGCGACAATTGCTTGTGTTTGTGTTTCAATTGTTGTTTGTAGTCATTCCAAGATTTGGAAAGTTTTTCTATAAGCATACCAGCAACAAACTGTTCGGGCAGAGAAATATCTTCAGATTTGAGATCTTCAATCAACTTGTGATATTCGTTGATTTGTGTAGTTATGTCCTTGTCCTCCGTCATCTACCACTTGTAGTAGTTTTCAATTACAAACTTTTGTTTAGTGGCATCTTCAGCAGTGTACTTTGTTATTATTGACTCCCAGATTTCTTTTGCCTTCTTGTAAGAAACATAGGCATCGAACAATTCGTTAGAAATAGTAGAAATTATAGTATGTCTACATACCTTATTAGCATGAACCCATTGTTCCATCTGAATGGAAGTTGCTTCACTTGGCTTTGGATCAGTAAGAGCAAAAGCAACTCCATGCATATCCAAAATAGAATGCACCCGTTCCTGCCAACGCTTAAAATTATCTCCACCAAAAACCTCAATTTTCGAAACATCAGGAAAGGCTTGGCATAGGTAATTGGTGATGGAACATCAACAGAAACAGCTGGAGCAATAGGTGTAGTAGCATCAACAGCAACATTAGCAGCGTTATTCTCCATAATAACAACGTAAAATATCCTTAAGATTGTTGGAAAAAAATTGGATGATTATGGAGAATAAAAAGTTTAGCTTGAGGCGTATCAAAGACACTGTCCTTAAGGATATTTCGCCTACACAGAGATGAATAATATTAGGCGTATCCCCCAGGATTCAACAAACTCTTCTAGTATAACTAGGAGCAGAAACAACAAAGATTTATAAAAGAAAACCCAGCACAAAGAAATGGAGAGAAAAGTTTTAGCTTTTGTTATTTTTCAACTCTATATCCCCATTAACACAAGAAAACACACACACACACATATATATATATATATTCCAAAATGAAATGGACATCTGATGAAAAACTTTAAAATCCATTTAGTATTCAAATGTCAAAACGTTAAGTTCCATTTAATATTCAAAACGTTTCAAAACGTTAAATCATTTATGTTACAGATTCCATAACTTTTATTACTAAAAGCTATTAACGTAACTCATTTAAAGCCAATAGAAATAGTATCTAAATTAATGTTAGGAAACGGTCATCCAAGACAATTTTTTATCAGATTCAAAGTTACTAAAATAACTAATTTTGATAGTCATTTAATGTTAAATAAAATATTATATTCAAATTGATTGGTCATATAAAGACCCATTAAAAGAATAAACCTAGACATCAATTTAAATATTCTTTTTGAGATATTAAAAAAATATTATTGTCTCAATACGTTTGGACATAAATTTCGTTGAAACTATAAAAAAAAATGTGTTGAAAAATAATTTTTGTGTTTGGCCATGTATTTTATTTGAATAAAAAGTTGGTGAGTGGAAGAAATTTTTTCACCAAAAAACTGCCTTAAATCAGGTTTTGGGAACTTGAAATCAAACAACGTTTTCAACAAAATTTTCAAAAAAAGTACCCAAAATCTATGGTCAATCGGGAGCCTAAAAGTGACAGGACTTGAATTCGAAAACTAGCCTGGTAGCTAAAGAAGTATGATAATTTTTCTAAGTCAGAGGTAGATTGAAGATTTGAACTTTATGAATTTGGGATGCTATTAAACTCATTGATTATTTGAGTTAGCGGCATTAAATTTAATCTTATCTATACATATTTAGTAGATTTCTTAACACATATACATGATTGAGCGAAACTATTGAGTCGAGTTTAGCTAAACTAGCTAATACTTCCTCCGGTCCATAATAAGTGACTTTTTAGCCTTTGGCACATCCCTTCAAAAATATGAACTCCTAGAGAGAAAAAAAGATGTATTCACTAAATTACTTTTAATTAATTGTTACATTGATACATTGAGATATGTAAATAAGGCAAATTTTGAAAACATAAAAGTAATTCATTTCTGATTATATAAAATGACATTTATTTTGGATCAAAATAAAAAAGTCAATAGATCACTTATTCTGAACCGGAAAAAGTAGTATGCATGTTCTAAGTTTGCTTGTGAAATAGCACGAATTCATTAATCGGACGAACAAATTTTTAATAGTGAATGCCCAAATAAAAAAGAAAAAGTGGCCATTTTCTTATTGCCTTGAGCTGCCTTTTTTTGGTTTTTATATTTGATACGTGTATTTGAATTTACCTAAATCCTAATTCCCAATAAAAAATCCTAATACATTAAAAATAAAACGCTTCCTAATAAAAGATAACTTTACACCCAAGATTTAAACCGGAGACCTCTGCTTCCAACATGCAACTTGTTCACATGAATTGGTGTGGAAGTTTTGAATGGGTGGTAGTGCTTATGTTTTCTTCCACTATATATATTAACGGCTGTGATTGCGAACGAATATGGTATACCTACTCTACTCTCTTTTAATGTTTGGCCAAATCTTCAACGCATGCCCACCTATTTCTCCCTTATTGTGTGACATCCAGCTGTATACACTTTATCCTCAATGTTCTTCCCTTCCCTTTTTTTGGTTTGTACATAAGTAATCCTTAGGGCCGGCTCTAATGTACATTCAAGTACCTTAGGCCCCCAAATTTTGGGACTCCATTTTTCAGAAATAATAGATTTATAGGTATTTTAAAAAAATAATATTTAGCACTTTTTATATGAAAGTAAAGTTTTTTTTATAACAATTGCCTCAAAGAAAAGAAGTTTTCAAGATTATAATTGATAAAATCTTACCCAAGATTAACAATGTCTCAAGATAGATTATATTTGTTGGCTATATTATTAATTGAAAGGAAATTATTAGAAGAAATCGATTATAAAAAAAATTATTAACAATTTATTTTAAAAAAATGTAGGCCTCACATTAAACTTTGGCTTTAGACCACATATATGTTTGAGCCGCCCCTGGTACTACTCCTCCTCTCTCATTTGCATTTTAGATGTTTGATTGGATATCAAATTTATTTTTTAAAAAGGACTTTTAAATTTATGATCTAAAATAGTGCCCCAAATAAAATCATGTCACTTAAAGCAAGAAGACAATTTCAAAATTAAATTATAATTAAATATAAAAATATATTATTTTCTTGTAAATAGATAAACAAAAAGATAGTAATCTAAGGGATTTGATCAATTTGTGAAGATAAATAATACTCCGTCAACTAAATCCTCTTAGAAAGGCATGCGAATTTTGTGATAAATTAATGAAGGTGATTAAGCTTGACACAATTACACATCATTTCCATGCGTCAATGTTGGATGTTTCTTAGGTACATCTACAATGCAATAAAATATAATTGGAAGATGGATTTCACTTGAAAGTAACGATCTTTCTCACCACTATTGTTCAGTGGAACATTCACTTATCTTGTTACTCATCGAAAAAGATTTTGTACTCCTGCATATTTTAATATATATTGCAATGTTAAGATATACCATTATACTTGTTGAAGTTGTTTTTTCTTATATACTCCCTTCGGTCCGTAATAAGTGACTTTTAGTAATTGGCACCCCCTTAAGAAAATACGAACTCCTAGAGAAAAAAAATATTTTCACTAAATTACCCTTAATTAATTGTTACCTTGACACCTTGATATGTTTAGAGCAAATTTTGGAAAATTAAAATTAATTCCTTCGATTATGTAAAAGCACACTTATTTCGGACCAAAATAAAAATGCCATAAGAACACTTAATATAGACCCGAGAGAGTATTAAACGACCTAAAATGGTGTGAACCTACGAGGAAGAAAATATATACATGTCTAATAAACATTAAGTTACGTACATAATCAAATATCATAATCTAAAATACTCCATAAATTTTACATAATGTATCTTTTAAAGCTTTATACGATTTTAAAAAAAAAAACTTTATTCACAAGAGTATTTGTTTGAATTAGCATGTTCAGTCAACCGCTACAAGAGTATTTATATCTCTTGAAACGTCTCACTTAATTAATACTTCAGTAATAAAACAATAAATGATAACTTTGATATTAGAAGCAAGATGCAATGAGTGAATTCTTCTCATGGAAAGATGACTAGCACTTTAGTAGTAACAATAAAAGAAAAACAAGTTATATATAAAAATAATAGACTAGTAACGTTTTGCATAGAGACTCCTAGGTAAAAATAATAATAATAATAACGGGTTTGCTTGTACGTTTATTAACATATTATTTTTATCACGTAATTATAATTAATTAAAATTTTAGTAGCTCACTCGGTTGCAACTTATTGGCGAGAGTTTAATTCTCCATAATATACTCGCGAATTTTCCTTTTAAAAAAAATATTATAATTCTTTTACCTTAATTTATAATTTGTATTTCCTACAAAAGATAAAAGAATAAAAAAGACAAAGAAAGTAACGTTTTGCAACATTGCATAAAAATAACGCGTAGAACAGTGAATTGGAGTTTCGTGTGGATTTCCATTATCTGTCTTTTTTCTTCTCCTCTCAGCCCCATTTAATTCACCACCCAACTACCCTAAATTCTCACTTCTACTTTTGTATATAAAAAGGGTTCCTCTAAAGCCCAGTCCTCAAAAAACAACCCAAAAAAAAAAAAAAAAAAACAAACTGCTTTTTGTATAGGAGAAGAGATCAAAGAGTAAATCAAAGCCATGGGTGGAGGCAATGGCCAAAAGGCAAAGATGGCTCGTGAAAAGAACGCTGAAAAGATGAAAGGCCAAAAGGGTATGCTTGTTTATGTATTTCTTTTGTATATTTAGAATTTCAAAATCAATTTTTTATTAGCTAAATAAGATTATGGATTTATGGTGTTTGCGCAGGAAGCCAGCTTGAGGCTAACAAGAAGGCCATGAGTATCCAGGTTTTTGTTAATTAAATACCCAAATTTTCTCTTATTTTGGAGTAATTAACAATTATATCTAGAATTCTTCTCAACCAGCTTAATAATCTAAGGTTCACATATGGGTGTCTGCCCCCCCCCCCCCCTCCCCCCTCTTTGGCGTTTTATTTGGGGGGGGGGGGGGGCACTTAACAAAGGATTTGAATTTACCCAACTTGCTAAAGTTATGGACTTTTTAATTGGATAAGTCGATTACATGAAGATTTGTAGTTTAGACCTTAGATTAGTTCAGATCTGTGTCTAGGACTGTAAAGGGGAATTTGGGTGCTGTAATTTGTTGATGTCTTGTTAATGGATTATGTTTACACGCTAGGCTTGCCTTGCATCATCTTAGAGGAGCTGAATTGATAGCTAAAATATGACACAGTTGCCAGTTATACCGTAAACTTAATGATTTATAGGAGGACTACCAATTCTCTGATGAAAAAGTGTGTTAGTTTTTGCACTTTCCATAGGGTTTGGCTGATAATGTCCTTGTCAAACTTTTAAGCAAGATGTTATTACTGGTTTATTAGAAATGCACTCATGCAATTTAGGAAACCAGGAATCCTTCTTTGTCTGATGCAGATGAGGTAGAAAGAATTATTAATCCTGTTTAAATAGCAGCAATTAGCCCTCATAATTATTGCTTTCGATAGCCTCAAACTTTCTGTCTTAAATGGAGAAGTCAAGTTAGAGAGTGCACATATGTAGCTGAAAAAAACTTGTCCCTGTCTTTAGAAAACTATTAACCTTTAGCGACAAATGGATGATATTGCTGGTTTATTAGAAGCTTTACAAAACCTGGGAGCCTTCTTCGTATGTCACAGATGAGGTAGAATGAACTAAATAGCATCAATTAGCTTTCACGATTATTGTTATCTGCAACATCTAACTACTGGAAAAGTCAGGTCAGAGAGTGTAGGAGTGTTGCTTACCCTTTTCTCTATAGAAGAGTGCACGTATGCTGCTGAAAATGGTTAGCCGTATGTTTAATCTTTAGCGACAAAGAGTTTGTTTTGTTAAACCTTGTAAGAAAGAAAAATTAAAATGTTTTGCCTGTTAAAGGGCAATAGAAGGCAGCTAATGAAATGGAGAAACATGAAATAGATTTATTATTCATTTACTTTTGATGTGGTGCTGTGCCATTTGGTTTTGATGTTTCAAGAAGTTTGGGGGTTTATGGTCTGAAAACACATAAGCCTGTCCAATCAAAGAACTAATTCTTGCTGGAATTATCCCCCTTTCCACGGGCCAAAGGGAATAAAGAAACAACATGGTAAACAAAGAAGATGTAAGCTAAACACTGTTATTCATATCTCCTAATGTTTGCTAATTGTCAAAATGCAGTGCAAGGTGTGTATGCAGACATTCATTTGCACCACTTCTGAAGTTAAGTGCAGAGAACACGCGGAGGCAAAACATCCCAAAGCTGATGTCTATGCATGTTTTCCTCATCTCAAGAAGTGATTTGCATTTCCGAAACCTATAGACGGGCTTCCAACTATGTTTCTTAATCTATCAACCATGACAAAGGTTGAATCTGTTCCAAAGTTGTTTGCTTAGTTCTACTTCAAACTGTTGATGGCTACTTAGTTTGGAACTCTTTGTGAAAAATGTTTATAATAACTGCCTCCTCTCATATTGCTTTACCTTTTCAATACTGGTGGATTATTTACTGTTACTAGTTTTAAACATTTAGGGAAAAGGTCCAAATTTACGCCTCTACTTTCGGATATTGTCTATATTTAATCTCTGTTATACTATTCGGCCAAATTTACCCCCATCGTTATACTATCCGGCTAACTTTACCCCTACCATCAGTAAACTTTCAAAAATTACCCCTCAGTCTGTTACGTAGCCCAAAATCTCCCAAATCTCTTTCATTGAAATCACTTAGAGCCCGTTTGGATTGGCTTGTTTTAAGTGCTTTTAAGCCAAAATAGTTTTTAAGTCATTTTGTAGTGTTTGGATAAAGTAAAAAAGTGCTTTTAAGCACTTGTTTTTAAGCTAAAATGATAAAAACAAGCCAAAAGTCAAAAGTTAGAATTTCTAACTTATGGCTTAAAAGCTATTTTGGCTTAAAAGTCACTTAAAACAATTCCATCCAAACGGGCTCTTATTCTTGTTTATTCACTGTTTTCAGAACCTACTATTAATGTGAATGCTAAAGGTACGAAACTATACAAATTATTCATGGATATTTTTAATTATCATTGCACCCACTTCTCTTTAATACACCTTTGATAGGAGGGTGTGGAGGTTGCAGATTAAGGTAGAAGGTTAGTGGGTAGTTTTTAGTTGTTCACCGTTAGTCTTAGTAGCACGCATGTCCCTTCATATTCTTAGATTTTTATTATGTTATGTGGTTTTGTTCGCCTCAGGTATTGTATTCCCTGTTGTTATTATTTGGTACTACTTATCCTTTATCTCTTTCTTTTTCTTTTTCTTTTCTCTTCCTTCTTTCTTCCTTCCTTGCTTTCCTCTTCTTCTTATTACCCTTCTGGAGCCGAGGGTCTATTGGAAACAGTCTCTCTATCTGCATTAGGTAGGGGTAAGGTCTGCGTATAGACTACTCTCCCCAGACCCCACCTGTTGGGATCATACTGGGTTTGTTGTTGTAAATACAACAACAACAACAACAACAACCCAGTGTATTCCCACAAGTGGGGTCTTGGGAAGATAGGATGTACGCAGCCTTACCCCTACCCCGGAAGGGCAGTGAGACTATTTTCGGTAGACTTTCGGCTAGAGAAAAGATGGAAGAAGCACTGATAGCAAGTAACAACAATACATGATAATTAGAAAACTAAAACCAAGATAGCAAAAGAGAAGATGAAGAAGTACTGATAGCAAATAATAATAGTGCAGGATATGTAGTGATAGCAAACTACGAGACTACTGATGGCAAGAAATAATAGTAGAAGATATGTGGTACTAGCAAACTAAGGATAAAGTGATACCATACTAACACTAATACTACTACACTAAGGAAGACAACGAGAAACGCTCGACTATCTACTAACGTTCTATCCTAATTCTCAACTTCCACACCCTCCTATCGAGGGTCATGTCCTCGGTTAGCTCAAACTGCGCCATGTCCCACCTGATCACCTCTCCCCAAGACTTTTTTGGCTTACCTCTTCCCTTCCTCTTATCCCCCAAGTCCAACCTCTCACACCTCCTGACTGGGGCATCTGTGCTTCTCCTTTTAACATGCCCGAACCATCTCAGCCTCGCCTCTCGCGTCTTTCCTCCACAGGGGCCACTCTCTTCTTGTCCAAAATAACTTCATTCCTAATTCTATCTAACTTAGTATGCCCACACATACAACATCCTCATTTCAGCTACTTTCATCTGCTGGACATGGGATTTCTTGACTGGCCAGCACTCTGCCCCATACAACATAGTCGGTCTAACTACTACCTTGTAGAACTTACCTTTAAGTTTCAATGGCACATTCTTATCGGACAAGACACCGGAAGCGAGCCTCCACTTCATCCACCTCCACCCTGCTCCGATGCGTTGTGTGACATCCTCGTCAATCTCCCCATCACTCTGAATCATAGACCCAAGGTACTTAAAGCTCTCCCTCCTAGGAATGACTTGCGTATCAAGCCTCGCATCCCCGTCTGCTTCCTAGGTAACACCGCTGAACTTGCACTTCAAGTATTCTGTGTTGGTCTTGCTCAACTTAAAACCTTTAGAATCAAGGGTATGTCTCTAGACTTCCAGCCTTTCGTTAACACCACCTCGATTCTCATCAATTAGAACTATGTCATCTGCAAATAACATGCACCAAGGCACCTCCCTTGAATGTGTCGCGTCAATGCATCCATTGCCAAGGAAAACAAAAACGGGCTAAGTGCTGATCCTTGATGCAACCCCAACTCAGCCGGGAAGTAATCAGAGACTCCTCATGCAGTCCTTACCCGTGTCTTTGCTCCATCATACATGTCCTGGATCATGCGAATATACGCTACCAGCACTCCCTTAGCCTCTAAACATCTCCATAATACCTCCATCGGGACTTTATCATAAGCTTTGTCTAGGTCAATGAACACCATATGCAATATTTCTCCACCGATTTCCTCACAAGGTGAGTGGCTTCTGTAGTCGACTGTCCCGGCATAAAACCAAATTGGTTCTCGGAAATGGATACACTTCTCCTCATCCTCCCCTCAATTACCCTCTCCCAAACTTTTATCGTATGGCTCAACAACTTAATACCTTTATAGTTATTGCAGTTTTGGATATCCCCCTGTTCTTGTACAATGGAATCATCGTACTCCACTTCCACTCTTCAGTCATCTTCTTCGTCCTAAAAATTACGTTAAACAACCTAGAGAGCCATTCCAAGCCCGCCTTACCCACGCTCTTCTAAAATTCCACAAGCATCTCGTCTGGACCGGTCGCTCTACCCCTGCTCATCCTGCGCATAGCCCTTTCAACCTCCCCCACTCTTGTGCGTCTACAGTACCCAAAGTCTCGATGTCACTCCAAGTACTCCAACTCACCCAGCATAATGCTCATATCTCCCTCTTCATTCAAGAGTTTATGGAAATAAGACTGCTATCTCTGCCTAATCTGAGCCTTCTCCAACAAAACTCTACCCTCCTCATCTTTTATGCACCTCACTTGGTTCAGATCACGGGCCTTCCTCTCTCTCACCTTCACCAGCATGTACAAATTCTTGTCCCCGCCTTTGTCCCCAAGTTCTTCATATAAACGACCAAATGTTGCGGTCTTAGCCACATTAACTGCTAACTTCGCCTCCTTCTTAGCCTTTTTATACCACTCCCTATTGGCCCTCTGCTCCCCCTTATATATGCTCTCTACTAGCTTCAAATACGCCACTTTCTTAGCTTCCGCTTTCCCTTGAACCTCTTCGTTCCACTATCAGTCCCCTTTGTGGCCACCAGAGAAACCCTTCGAGTCCCCTAACATCTCTCTTGCCGCCTCTCTAATACAATTCGCTGTCATTGTACACATACAACTCACATCCTCGCTACTCCTCCATGCCCCTATAGCCAGAAACTTCTCCCCCAACTTCTGGGCTTTGTCCTTAGTCAATGCACCCCACCTGACCCTAGGTAGACCAGACAAAATCCTCCTCCTCGTCCACCTGATATCTAAGTCCATAACCAAAAGCCTATGTTGATTCGTAAGATTCTCACTGGGGATGGCCTTGCAATCCATACATAATCCCCTATCACTTTTCCTTAGGAGTAGATAATCAATCTGGGTCTTGGCCACCGTACTCCGGAAGGTGATCAGGTGCTTCGCCTTCTTCGGGAAACACGAGTTAGCTATCATCATATCAAAAGCCTTAGCGCACTCCAGCAACGAAGTCCCTCTTCCATTTCTATCTCCAAAACCGAAGCCACCATGCACACCGTCATACCCCCAAACGACCTCCCAACGTGGCCGTTAAAATCTCCTCTCATAATAAGCTTCTCGGTGCACGGTATACCCCATACCAAACTATCTAAGTCTTCCCAGAAAAGCCTTTTAACTTTCTCGTCCAAACCCACCTGAGGTGCGTAAGCACTAACTACGTTTAGAGTATACCCTCCTACTACTATCTTAATGGCCATCAACCTGTCATTCACTCTCCTAACCTCAACCACTAGCTCCCTTAATTCCCTATCGACTAAGATGCCTACCCCATTCTTCCCTCTCACCCTCGCTCTCACCCTCCCTGAATACTACAACTTAAGCTCATCAGCCTCCCGAGCACCGAGCCCTGCTCCCCACCCATCTAGTCTCCTGGACACATGCTACATTGATCTTCCTCTTGTGGAGAATCCTCGCTAACTCTATAGACTTTCCCGTTAAAGTCCCTATATTCCATGACCCCACTCTCAACCTAAAGGTTCCCTTACCCCCCTGCCACCCTTTCCCTTTACCCCCCGCTCCCCCGAGGACATGACCTCACTCTATCATTGCTCATCGCGGCCACTAGACCAGCAAAGAGCTACAAAAAGAATAGCGTAAAAAGTAACCTAAAGGACCAAAGATGCTAATAAGGGATATAAAATAAGCAGACACAAATTAAGTGTTAACTATAACACTAAAGTTATCGACAGGGACACATAAAGGCAGGCAAGTCTATCTAAATACAAGTTAAATCAAGATACTGCAAATGCAAAATAGACAGGCAAGCAAATATACCAATACCACAAATACCAAAGAAGGAAAGAAAGAACCTGGAGTGAAGTACGTCGGATCTGCTCAAAAATCGTTGATAGCCTTGTTGCGTCCTGCCGGAATGCTAATAGTCTTGCTACGTCACGCCGCAAAATCCTTTCTTGGGGTCTCTCTTTGTTGTACACAAAATACAACCTAACACCCCCCCCCCCCACACACACCAAGGGCGGGAAAAAAGGATTGACGTCGGCATTAGGTGGTCGCCGATGGTGGGAGGGCTACAACACACTAAAAAGAAAGGGAAAAAAGAAACGAGGAGAAAAAGAGGAGGCGAGAGAGGGTGGGAGGAGAGATAGAACAGCGGTTGGTCGCTGGCGAAGGGAGAGAGAGGGGTGTTGGGAAACAAAGAAAAGGGGGAAAAAGAGAAGGGGAGAGCAAGAACAGAGGAAAGAGGGGCGAGGAAAGAGGGGATAGAGAGAGGGAGAAAGAAAGAAAACCTACCTTGGCAGCGGCGGCGGCATGGCCGGACTCGGCAGTAGCGAGGATAGAGAGAAGTTTTTTTTTTTTTTTCAATCGTAGTACACATTGTAAATTTTTGCGGGTTTATTTGTTTTGTATTATATGCGGTTGCTCATCATGTATGCACATGTACATTCGAATGTATTTTGTAATTGTCTAGTTAGTATTCGATCAACTAACTTAAGAGTGCACAATGCGTAGGCATTTGATTAAAGCAACGTTGAATTTGACAATGGAAAGTCTCCAAGGAACTTCAACTTCTATCTCTAATACTTGCTAAATCTCCACACCTTTTGTTGAACAAAATCATTAAATCTAGGGTATTATAAATACTTTTGGAATTTAGATAAGCTACCTAATTTAGATTCTTTATTTTACTATACTTTGTTTACTAACCGCTACATTATTTTAATATTTCTTTCTCTTGTTTCTTTTTTTCAATTAAGAAAGCCGGTAAATGCCAATTATTTTGAAGATAGTGGATCAAGAAGAAGAATAAATGACTTGACAAAAATGATTTGGGAGATTCTAGATCACTTGACGAACTTAGGGGTAATTTTTAAAAGTTTGCTGGTGATCGGGATAAATTTGGCCAGATAGTATAATAGTAGGAATAAATTTGACTGAATAGTATAACGAAAGTTAGACGTAGGCAATATTCAAAAGTAGAGGGATAAATTTGATGGAATAGTATAACGAAAGTTAAATGTAGGCAATATTCAAAAGTAAAGGGGTAAATTTGGACCTTTTCCCAGACATGTTAGTATAGGGTCCAACTCACTCTATGCTTAAACTTGTGCTCATCTTCTATTTTCTTTTCTTCCTTCTCAGAAGTATTATATTGAACAACTTCTGCTATCGAAAATATTGTGACGCCGAGATCCTTATAGCTTTTCACATTTAAAAGAATTACCGAAGATGATGGTTTTGAGATCTAGATTTGGGTAAATCTAGTATCATCTAGCAGAACATTATATTTTTATTGAAACAGGACATGTTTTAACACTAATCTAAATGTATAACGTACAGAACTACAGAGAGTGCTTACATAGCCTTTAGTTGATACCACCCCACCCACCCAGACACAATCCCAATGATAATTGGATTCTGGAACTGCTTTGAACTGTTCTAAAAGTAGTAATTTACACAAAGTGAAGAAATATGCCAAGGAAAGAAAAATAAATATTGTTGGATTCTTTGGTTGATATCCCAGAATCGAGTTTTAATCGAGAACCTTCAGTCTTCACTTTTACAAGAACCTACATCTTCTTGAGAGGTAGAATGAAATGAAGGTTCAAAGCAACGTATGTGTTTACCACTTGTAATAGTTATTTGTTACAACAATGTTGAAAGATAAAAGTAAATAGGAAGAATTACACAATAGATCACTCCATAAGGTGACCTTGCAGTATTTTAGTCCAGTTACAAGTTTGCAAATGTATAGCCAAATATCAATAAATTCATATCCAAACTTTTTTCTTTTCTTTTAATTCTCCAGATCTTCCGGCGTGAAAGATCATTGAGTTTCCATTCTCCTTTTCTCCTCAAGTTTATATATACCTATTCCATCTACAGAAATGCAAAAACAGACGCGAGAAACCTAAAATCTCTTCTTCTTCAATGCTAATCTTGTTAAATTTTAAATATGATTTTGTGAGAAATTTGGAGTGGATATTGTTTGAACTTATTAGAAATAGTCTAAGTAGGTTGTATACAAAGTTTGAAGTCATTTGATGGAGTTTTGGACTAGTTTTGAACAAGATTTGCAAGTGAAATCGTATAAGAAGTTCGTCAGAGATGTTTATACACATTTATACGACATTATACACTTTTATACAAAGAGGTACATTATGTATATAGTTGTATAAAAATGTATAAAGATGTATAAACACTGTAAAAAAATATTGGTGATTCCTATGTTTATACGTGTAAAAGAAGAAGAATATGTGAGAAATTTATCAAATACATGTAAATAATGTATTATTGTGTATGAGAGTTGTTTAACCACTATTATATACTATTTATACAATTTTATACATTATTATACAGATGAATCCTATCAATGGAGCTTCACATGTTCTTCTTCTTTCTTGGGAATCTTCTGAAATTTAACTCAAATCTAGCTTAAATCGACTCCAAATCACTTCAAATTTAAGTTTTGAACTCCTCTTGATGATTCCAATCAATTGGGAAAACACCCAATCCAAACAACTAAAAAATCAAAAAAACGCAATTTCTGAAATCGAAGCTTTGAAACACCTTTAATGGTGACTTCTATTTTCCAAGTTTTTGATCAGCCACTGGAATTAGAATTACACATGAAATGAGGATAAGACTGAGACCATGCCAATACCTTCTTCTAGTTTGGTGATCCAACAACCTACCAAGTGAACCTCTTTAGTGCAAACACGGTTCTTTCCACTCCATTGAAAGAAGTGATCTTCATATGACTCCAAAAACTAATTCTTTTATGTATTATTTTTTCTTCTTCATCCAAATAGTGATTATCGGCTTTGAATCTGGAGTAGTGTTGATGGAGAATAATAATGATGGAGAAAGTTTGGGATGCAAAGTTGGGACATGAGGAGAAGAAGAACAGAGAAAAGAAAAAAGAAATTAAAAGGAGTGGGCTAATGGGTGAAAAGTAATTTTCACATTATATACAACCTGGATCACACCGGGAAATGGCTTTAAACGGGGCCAGTTTTTGAAGGGCTATTGAGCCAAGTGATAAGGAATGTAATTCTCCCAAGTAAATATACTATACACGCACAATTAAAATTACAGCTCCCGCGATATAAAGAGTTATGTTGTGTATTATATATATCAAATTAAAACTCTTTGAGTCTAAGTTTGAATGTTTCGAACCATTCGTCATTTAGACTTTTTTTACAAAAAGTTATAGTAATCTTTTTACTGAAGGATAACAGAGTAGCCACGAGACGCGCAATGGACGAGCGAAGCGAGCCATCAAAGTTCCATAGTGAATTTTGAAGCTATTACTTCAAAACTATTCACCAAAAGGTCGAACATATTTGGTCTTTTACCCCACTCCTTCTGTATTGTTCAAGTTTCACACTTTCACTGGCCTTCTTTTGTTTTAAATGAATCCTTCAACTTATCTCACTTGTTTATGTAATTGAGTTTCAAATGATTTTTCGATGACTTTTATTAAAAATTACAACAATTTGGTTTTGTTAGTTTGCCTATTTCTAATTTTTAAGGAGTATGTTATTGTTTAACTCTGCTAACCTTCTTTAACTAATTTGATACACAAAAGAAAACGTCATGTATAATTTGCCCGGGTGCATTTGGTATGAAAGAAAATTCTTTTCTTGAACAATAATCTTACGGAAAATGTTTATTATATTGTGAAATATTTTTTAGACCATTTTTTAGTGTTTGGCTGAGATAAAAATTTGGTTATACAAGATAATCATGCAAGTGTAGGCCATAAGGTATGATTTATGAATATACTACTTCAATATTATTTTTTAGTGTTGTAGGTTGGTTGACAAAGAAAGTCTTTAATCGAAGCAAATGATATAAATTTAAAATTGAGTTAGTGTTAATTTAAAAATAAAATAAATTCGGATTGATAAAAATTAATTTTCTTCATTCCTCGGAAAAAAACATTGCAATTAAAACAATCAAATATAAAAAAAATGTTCCATAAAAAACATATTTTAAATAAAATATCCTGCCATACCAAACACACCTATTAGTGATTTGGTTTTTATGGCACCAACCAAAGAACCAACAACTAAATGTTCTCAAATTGAATACAAGATATTTATCAACGACAAGTTGCAAACAAGAAAAATACACATAAATTATTTAATGCATGTTGTTTAGAAGTCCAAAACCTGAACTTTGTACTCTGTTCACTTTTACTTTTTTACTATTCTAAAAATAGATTTCACTATTACTTGTCACTTTTAGCATATCAAGATAAGATAATTTTTTCCCCTGTTCTACCCATAGTATTAATTGCCCATTTCAAATCATTTTCTCAAACTAATTAAAAATATGCACCAATTAATATAGGTATCATGATAAATATGCACTTCATTTATTATTTCTTAAGGAGTGTGCAAAGTCCATAGTGAACAAGTAAAAGTGAACGGAGGGAGTATTAATTTTTGTATATTAAATACATTTCTAAAATCTTGTATACTAAATTCATAGAAAATTATGTAACTAAGTGACAACCTATACTATAATTTATAACATCATCTGTTTTTACAATTAAGTTAAAATTTGGAACAAAGTTTTGTTCTAAAAATTTTACTATGCTCAGAAAGAAGTTAACTGCCCATGTTCATGTTCAAACAAGGACAAGGTGGTTAACTAGTTGTTCGTTTGTGCATAAAGCATGTTGACGAATGTGTATTTTTGCCGTATAGCCGACAAAATCTATATATATATATATATATATATATATATATATATATATATATATATATATATATATATATATTCAGTTATCAAATTATTTTACACTGCATTTTTACATTTTGGATGTCAAGTTAGGTTTAATAGTTCAAACTTCCCTATCCACAGACCACAATAGATGTAGTGGTACTCTTCAAGCAACCTCCTAGCTCCGCCTAATTCTTAAACACCAGAGCCCAAAGATTCGTCAATTTTTTTTCCACTAAATACATTGATATGTACTATACTTCGTATTTTCAAAAACAGTAGAAAATAAACATTAATTCAAGGGGAGCCTTAACCTGTATAGTTGTTGTGACCATGAGGTCACATGCTTTAGTGCTGGAAATAGCAGGCAGTATCATCAGCACTCTCATTTTTATATGTATATTTACATGCCCAAAATGCGATGCTGATTTCTCTTTCCGGTCACTATTTACTCTAATTTCACCACAATTGTCAATGTTCGAGCTGAAAAAGATAAAATCCAATACTAATTTACAGACTTACAGTGAAAAAACAAGTCAAAATCACTCAATTTAACTTTTGTTACCGCTCTTATAAAATTGCTAACGAGGCTGCAGATGTTGAGGAAGCCGGAACCGAACCTGAGACGCCGGAGACCTATCGGCGACGCCGTGCCAACATATGCCACCTCGGCACAACTCGTCGGAATGATGACGTGGCTGATAAAGCTGCTGAGTAGGATGATGATGATGAAGATTACGATTACGTGTCAACGCATACCTAGCCTTACGTGACACGTCATACGTCAGACTCAAAATCAATATAATACCTACTACAGTTGTCGACACAATCAGCACAAATCCTCCGCCGTAGCTCCGCCCAGTCATCAATCCATAAGCCTTCATAGCAGCTATCACCAATAAGTACAACGTTGTCAAATTCCCCACTACTCTGTCCGAAATCGCCATTTTTATCACCCAATTTTTGGAAATAATGGAAATTATCAGCAGCTCATATACTGATAATAAAAGGTTAAAAGGGAATATGATAGGGAGTGAGAATTACGACTTTTGGTGGGGTGGGGTGGGGTGGGTGGTGTAAAATGATGCTATGGGGTTTTGAGCTTATCTTCTCTTTATTTGTTATTTTTGAGGAAAGGGAAAGTGAAAGGGAAAGGAAACAATGAATGTGATTCAGTACCCAACTATAGAGACTCATCCATTGGCTGATACTAATGACAGTTCCAAATATACGAAGACGTGTGTCTAATTTTAGGTAGTCTTAAATTCCTTATTGCGACTTTTAAGACTGCCAATTATGTCGTCATTTTACTCTTGACTCACTCGATAGGCAGTAGAAGCATTAACTTTTCTTCACTTTTATTTGACTTTACACATTACTTAAAAAATACTTCCTCTACTTGCTTTTACTTGTCCATTATACTAAAAATATATTTTTTTATTTTTAATTATCCACCATACCAAATCAAGAAAAAAACAATCTTTTTTTTCTTCTTGTTTTACCCTTATCATTAATTAGTCATTTTCAAAATTATTTCTCAAGACTTTTTGAAATGCTATTATTATTAGGGGTTATATGGTAAAATACACACTATAATCATTATTTTTTAAAGGACGTGAAAAGTTCAAAGTGGACAAGTAAAAATGAACGGAGATAGTAATAAATAAAATATATATTTACCATGATATCTCTATTAATTAGTGTATAGTCTTAATGACATTGAAAAATGATTTAGAATGAGTAATTAATGCTAAGGATAAAATAGAAAAAATAAATTAATTTTCTCTCGATATGCGAAAAGTGACAAGTAAAAATAAAAATTTATTTTTAGAATAATTGATAAATAAAAGTGAACGGAGGGAGTATAATGTAAGGGTCGTTTGCTGTGATGGATAAACAAAAATAATTCTTAGATAAAAGTTTAGCACCACCTTATACCTTGTTTTGTTATTAATTCTGGGATAAGTTATCTCAGGATTAAAAATAGTAGAAAACTTATACCTGTCAGATGATGGATATTAATCTTAGGATAAAGCCATAAAATTAAAAATCTCACAATTAATACAACATATCAAACGGTCAACGAGATATAATACTAGGATAACTAATTCTAGCATAACTAGCTCAATGTAACTAATCCCACCATAACTTGTTTTCCCGTCAAACGACCCCTAAATACGTTGCGACAACTAATTAAATTATACGAATAGTACATATATATTTGGTTTAAATTAGTTATTGAGGTATGACCTAACTGTTAATAAAGTAGACGAAAACTATGAAGAATCATAGTTGTGATGATAAAAGATACTAATAAAGGTGTGATAAAATAGTTAAGGCGTACAAATTGATTCAAATATAAACTTAAATAGGTAGAGGAATTATATGTTAGTTTCTTGGTAATGATCTAATCTTTGTCTTTGGGTATGGGGTCGTAATGGTGACTTTGCTGTTGCGCGACGTTAAAGAATGTATTTGTTCTCCTTAAAAAGTGTGCTATTTGTTTTTCTGTTTTTGAATCAAATAGACATGAGATTGAAGATATGTACCTAAATTCGGTCCAACTTTCTTTTTCGTTCTTTCTCCTTATGGGTCTTCCCATTTTTGGCTTTCGTGGTCTGTGGTTCCGTAAAGTTAGCTGTGCACTATAATTGAAATATATCATAGGAAGACAAAGTGGAAGAGAAATTTGTTACAGATGGGGCACCATCATCAAATTATAACAAGCAACAGCTCATATCTTAGGTAAAAATTTACGATGTTTACATCCAGTCAATAAACAAATGATACATGCTGCTTTATTTAACTACAATTATCAATACTTAACTATGGTTAACACATGATCTTAAATAATACTAATATTAAAATATTTAATATATTACATATAGTCTATGCTCTTTACGATATCACTGGCCATTACCAATAATCTATTTCGAGATTTCACAAAAATTATGCAAAAACTACTTTATCCCTCAACTTTATTTTTTGACAGCATTATTTTTAGCAACAGATTTAAAATTATACAAAGTTATACCATCAAATCAATACAAGTTTTCACCATTGAACACCATTTATTATTATGCATCGAATTTAACTCGGCAATAAAAAGTACAAATTACTATTATAACCTACGCCTCCCAAATCCGAGAGTGCAAGACCAATTGATCAACATACTAGTAATTAACTAATATTGAGCAACATACTCGTAAAAGAACAGGAACATTCATGGCTATGACTCTTAACTAACTCCCAACTACATATATTGTTGTTTCGGAATTATGCTTTAATCTCGAAGAAGATCAGAAATAATCAGTACTTCAAAATTTAGCCAAACACTTGAAGAAGATTAGGAATAAAAGAAAGAAGAACGAGAAAGTTGATGGCAACTCTATGTTTCTCGAAGTTATGTCAGTATAAGTTTTCCTAAAGTTATGTTAGTACATATGATTTACTTCCTTTTTTAATTTTTATTTATTTATTTTAAATAAAACTCCTAATAGACCTTAATTTATCTTATATGGTTAACTTAACTATATCGGGTTTAAACACCCGGTGCAGGTAAGTTTTTAGAGAAACTTTCAGAAACTACTATGTTTTAGTGGTTATTAGCTAGTTGTAGCTACAATTTACTATATTACTTCCAATAGCTATGTTTTCAGATTGTTTAGAGTGTATTCGATGTATTTAAGCTACTGTATTCATGAACACAGTAGCATTTCTAGGCGTGGAACAGGGGATTACAGCTAGACAAATTTTTGTATCCGGGTGTATTCAACTGTATTCATGGCGTGAAACATGGGATTACAGCTAGACAGATTATTGTATTCGACTGTATTCACGGCGTGAAACAGGGGATTACATTATTTTTAAACGGAAAGTGAATCAATTAACATAATAGACTCCTAATATAACTCAACAAACTCAATTATAATACACAAATTTTGTATTTCCAGTTATAAAAAAGATTTTCAACCGAAAAACACCCCCGAAAACATAGCAATCTTCTGAGAAATTATATCATACATCCGAATACATAAATTATATTAATTAAAAAAAACATATGGATACATTCATGGAATATAGCGAGACAGTGAATACAATGAAATACATAGAATACATTGAAATACAATGAAAAAAAGACAATGAATACAATGAAATACATAGAATACAGCGAGATACATTGAAATACAATGAAAAAAAAGACAATGAATACAATGAAATACAGCGAGATACATTGAATTATATTAACGGAAAATTCAAGTTGCTCAGCCCCCAACTCCGTCGTCTTTATTCAAGAACAACCCTAATGTCGTCTCGTTGAAGCAACATCAGTATCCGGTTCTCGCTCGCCGTCACTGTTGCCTCCGATTGCCGACGATTGGCACGTAATTACCGGATTGAAGACAAAGCATGTGACAGACAATTTGTTTTACTTGATTTGAGGAAAAACCTGGAGGATCACTCGTTTATAGAAGCTTTGTGCTGCCGTTGGGAAAACATATGAATTGATACATGACCGAAATGAGATGACCCAAGCATTATCGCAATGTAAAGACTTGACGTTTTCTAGTTTGATTGGATTCCAAGTTCAGAGTTCTAAAGACCTAGTTACCTTTATCGATGATGCTCTGACAAAATTGGGTAGTACTTTTTCTGGTTATAAATGTCTGTATACATCTTCGGAGTAGAAGTCGTGTTCTCCGCCGCTTATCAAAAGTAGAAGCAACAGAAGCCGAAGTCCAGTGCTTTCATCTGCAGCCTTGATCTGGCGGAGGAGAAGACATCCGGAAGTAGAGAGAGAGAATAGATATGGGGTAGGGGATAGGAGAAATTTGAGGGGATATGAGAGAGAAAAATAATATAAAGCTTATTTTATGGCTTAAGGGATAGATATTTGGTTATAAAAAATCAAAAGGTAGCTATGAATTTAATTTTTTTAAAAAGGTAACTAATTTTACCCATATCTTATGTAGTCGTTAGGCAGAAGCTCTGCCATTTTCACTTTGTCCATTAATCTATATTATATTAAAAACAGGAACCCTTAATTTTAAAAGTTAAATTACTTTTATACCCTTTTTAATAAAAAACCTAATTACCGTACCTAAGAAACCTAGTGCAGAAAAATCCCAAACCTACGCTTACCCATACGAACCGATGTGTTCATTCAGAGAACTTCATTAATTATTCATGTCAAGAGATGCGCTCTTTCAAAAAAGATCCGTAACATAAAACCTTTTCACCTCTTTGTTCCTGTCAGTATTTGTACTTTCTCTTTTGTTCTTCAATTATCAATTTTTGATACTTTTTCAAGCCATAACATTTAGTTCAATCCCAGTTAAGAAGGTGGGCATCAGCAACGTTATTTCTATGGCATTTCAAACGGGTAGATTTTCCATCATTTTGCTCTATTGTTTGCAATTTTTTCTGTTCTGGTTCAGAAGTCAGTCCAAGTCGATTCTCTATTATATTCCATCATGGTGACTATCCAAGTTTTAGAACCACATAAATCTCTTGGTAAATTTTTTTTCTTTCTTTTTTTTTTTTTTGAGAACCATGCCCTGTTATGTGTTTCTCCTTTGATCTTCAAATGTATAATTATGTTAAAAAGACTATTAGCTGTTGCTAGATTTGTAGACACACCAAATAAAGATATGATGGGCGATATACTTTTGTAAGAAATTAATCTTCATTGGGTATTCAAATCTGAATATAATATTTGATTGTCTCTATACACTCCATCATGCTACCATAATTAACTGAATGGTAAAGTTGTAATTTAATTGGTGATTAACTATAGTCTTTTGGTATTCTGTTGCTTGATTAATATTACTCACACTTAGCCGTTTAACTAGGCATCAGTATAATATGAACCCCATTTGTTTAGATCTAAAGTGCATTTTCAAGACGTGATCATAATTGAATTTATACGTAAACTCAATTGTATAAGTGATTAGATTGTGCTACAACAGCCGTTACAATACAAAAACAATGCTTTCTTATATCCACCAATGAGATTTGACCCAAAAGGCTTCACCAATTTTTGTACTTAGTTGACTTTCTATCTCAAGTTATAATGGTTGATCATTACAAAGTTTCTATTTACCATTATTTGCAAATTTGGTGTTGGTTTGGAACGAACATCTAAAGTTTAGTATCTATTTTGAAAGAAGTT